GTGCTGCTGGATTCGATTTGCAAGGATCTTGTTGAGAATTTTTGCATCCGTATTCATCAAGGATATTGGCCTGTAGTTCTTTTTTTTTTTGCTGGATCTCTGTCTGGCTTGGGAATCAGAGTGATGCCGGCTTCATAAAATGAGTCCAGAAGTTTTCCTTTGATTTCTATTTTTTAGAATAGCTTGAGAAGAATTGGGATTAATTCTGTTTTAAATGTCTGGTAGAATTCCCCAGGGAAGCCATCAGGTCCAGGGCTCTTATTTGTTGGGAGATTTTTGATAACTGATTGGATTTCTTCACTCATTATGGGTCTGTTCAGGTTTTCTATTACTTCCCGTGTGAATTCTGGTAGTGAGTGTGTGTTTAGGAATTTGTCCATTTCTTCTAAGTTGTCCAATTTGTTGGCATATAATTTTTCATAGTATTCCCTGATAATTGCTTGTATTTCTGAGGGGTTGGTCGTAATAAGTCCATTTTCATTCATAATTTTGTCTGTTTGGGTGCTCTCTCTCTTCTTTTTGATAAGCCTGGCTAGAGGTTTGTCAATTTTATTTTTTCAAAGAACCAACTCTTGGTTTCATTGATCTGTTCAGTTGTTTCTTTGGTCTCTATGTTGTTTATTTCTGCTCTAATTTTTACTATTTCTCTTCTTCTCCTGGGTTTAGGGCATTCTTTTTGCTCTGCCTCTAGTTACTTTAGGTGAGCTGTTTGGAGGTCACATTCTTAACCACTACGTTATTCTTAGCAACTCGGCTTTACTTCTTATTTTTATGCATTATATTTTGAAACTGATACTCAGAGCAGAAAACAAAGTGCACACCTATCAGTGTGTATTTTCACTAATTTTTACCTTTAGCTCATTTTTCTATACACGTTTTTTTCAAGCATTACTGGATGAAGCATTCTTAGTTTTGCCATTTCTGGTTACTTTTGTTTCTCAAACTTGGCTCATCTTATCCTGTTTTGTTTTGTTTTGTTTTGTTTTTATTTCTTCCTTTAATGAAGAGGACTTTAGTATTTCCATGCTCACCAGGAGAGCTGTCTCTTCACTAAGAGAAATAATATTGAGAGACTGATATACCACATGTATTTGGTACTTTGTAGTCATATTTTTGCCTATTTATTCCCCCCCTCCCCATTTTGTTATTTTTTTGAATTTGGAGCCTTTTAAATTTGCTATATGTATCAAAATCCTGTATAAATTAAGTTCAGGAAGTGTTATGCCTGAGCTTACCACTGTAGGTGCATTTGGGATAATCAAAGAGCATTAAAGTTCAAATGGAAATAAACTGACAAGTAGTTGTTATTCACAACTAGTGGCAGTGGGTCTATAGGGTAAAGCATCTTAGGATCACTGACCTCCCCATTTGGATTGTTGAATGGTACTTGTCTTTGTTTTTTTCAGTCCCTAGGAAGAAAGGAACTGGACACTCTACTACCTGTGGTTTTATATGCCTTATATTAAAGTTATTTTTTCCTTTGTTTACATATGAAAGGACAGACTAGTGGGAATTTTTTTGTTTACATTTTTTTAAATGTTTTTTATTATTTCTGAGAGAGAGAGAAACAGCGTGAACAGGGGAGGGTCAGAGAGAGAGAGGGAGACACAGAATCTGAAGCAGGCCTCAGGCTCTGAGCTAGCCGTAGAACCTGAGACGGGGCTCGAACCCACAAACCGTGAGATCACGACCTGAGCCGAAGTCAGATGCTTTACCGATTGAGCCACCCAGGCACCCCTATTTACATTTTTTAAAAATGGATATTAGGTTTACATGGTTCAGAATTCACAAAACTTAAAAGGCTGCAGAGTTGTCTCCTGATCTGATTCACTGTGCCCTTGCTCACAATGCATTCAGACTTGGGTCTTTGCCATGTGATAGAAATGTGAAAAATGCTGCCTCAAAGACTTATTTTTTTTTATGAGTAAGGTTGTAAAATCTTCATTTTTTTAAGGTTTTTAAAAATATTTCCTTAGTGGGGTGCCTGGGTGGCTTAGTCGGTTAAGCGTCCGACTTTCGCTTAGGTCATGATCTCGCGGTTCGTGGGTTCGAGCCCCGCGTCGGGCTCTGTGCTGCCAGCTCAGAGCCTGGAGCCTGTTTCAGAGTCTGTGTCTCCCTCTCTCTCTGACCCTCCCCTGCTCACGCTGTCTCTCTCTCTCTCCTAGAAATAAATAAAACGTTTAAAAAAAAAAAAATATTTCCTTAGCATATTTTTACCTAATTCTTCTATTTATATGTGGTATTTTTATTTATTTACAAGAGCTTTTTGTATATTATGGAAATTTGGTATTTGGCTCTATATTAACTTCATATTTTTCTCAGTATACTTTTCATCATGGTGGTTTTTGCCATGCAGGCACATTTGATTTTTGTGTGGTTAAATTATTTCCTTGAAGACTCTGGTGTTGGATGTTTGTGTGTCTAATTTTATTTTCTTGGTAAACCCCAATGCAGTGTAAAATCTTCAGATTAACTTCTGACTCCCCTGCCCCCATACTTAACTACTAAGAGCCTACTATTGATAGGAAGCTTTACTGATAACAGAATCAATTAACGCAAGTTTTGTGTGCTCTAAGAATTATATACTGCATTCTTAGAATAAAACAAGGTAGAGAAAAATGTTAAGAAAATAAGGGAAACATTATTTTCAGTTCTGTAAAAAATCTACCTTTAAGTAGACCTTTGCAGTTCAAACCTATGTTCAAGGGTTAACTGTATATTTTTAAAGGTTTTCCCCATTCCAAGGTCATAAATTACTTTTCCTATGGTTTATGATTTTAGTTTTTCCTTTTTATTTTTGCTATTTATTTTTTTTCCCAGATTTGGCCTTTCTTGTTTATTCTCCCATATTTACTTGAAAATCACCTTGTTTCGTGTCTCTACGCCAATTTATACTGTCATATTTCTTGTTTAGTTCATTGTTGGGTATTATCTTTTTAGTTGCTGTTAATATCTGTTATTCCATTATTTCTTCCATTTGATAGTGAACATGGATGAATGCTATTCATGTCTATTTTAACTTTGTAACTCTTCACTTAATTTTTAGCTGATTTTCTTGTTTTTCAGTTATTTGTTAACAGTGATGGTATCTCTCCCCTTTTTTTTAATGAATAGGTTTTGATGGTACTTTATTTGACTACTTCAACGGTTATGAAGATTTAAAAAATAAGAAAGTTAGGTTTGTTGGACATGCTAAACAGAGGATACAAGAAGATTATCTTCGAATTTTAAGATATTTCCGGTAAGAAATTTTTTAAAATAATGGTAACAGTTTTTAATAATCTAGAGCACAATTCTGATCATGTGAAATGCACAGGTCAGTGTACAAAATGGTGACATCCCAAATGTCTGTTCCTGATAGACTTCATAAAATGTGATTTACTGTGAGAGATTACTCAGATACTTTGTATTTTCTTTCCCAGAACACAGATATTTTCTCCATCCTCTGATGGGTTTTTTATATAATTCAGCTTTAAATCATTTTTCAAATGTCCAATTTTCTTTTTATTTCCTGCACTAATCATTCATTTCACAGATAATTGAGTGCTTGCCACAGGCCAACCACTGTGTTGGGTGCTTTGAACATGGAATAATGAGTGAAAGTCTTTGCCTTCACATGGCTTACAGTTTTAGGTGGTCATGGGATATCCCTTAGGTGAACTTGCTAAGCTTGAATATATATAATAAAATATATAATCCAGGTAAGTTAACATAGTGCAATAATGATTTCAGGAATAGAATTTAGTGATTCATCACTTACATATAACACCCACTGCTCATCCCAGCAAGTGTTCTCCTTAATGCCCCTTGCCCATTTAGTCCATCCCCCCCACCCCTCCAGCAACTCTGTTTGTTCTGTATATAAGAATTTCATGGTTTACCTCCCTCTCTGTTCTTAGATTATTTTTGCTTCCCTTCCCTTATGTTCACCTGTTTTGTATCTTAAATCCCATGTAAGAATGAACTCGTATGATGTTTTTCTCTTATTTTGCTTAGCATAATACACTCTAATTCCAGCCATGTTGTAAATGGCAAGATTTCATTCTTTTTGATCACCAAGTGATATGCTATTGTGTGTGTGTGTATATATATATATATATATATTTATATATATATACACACACACACACACCACATCTTTATCCATCTTTATCACTCGGACATTTGGGCTCTTTCCATGCTTGGGCTATTGTTGATAGTGCTGCTATAAACATTGGGGTGCATGTGCTCCTTCAAAACAGCACTTCTCTTTTGGATAAATACCTAGTAGTGGAATTGCTGGGTCATAGGGTAGTTCTATTTTTAATTTTTCTAAAAAACTATTCTAACTGGCTAGTTTATGTGTAGTAGTATTTTTCACTGGTTGGGATCACATATGGAATATTCTGTAACAGAGCCTCATTGCAAATAATAGAACACAGGCTGAAATCCATAGTTACTGTCATTTCATCTATATTATGAATTGATTTCTGAGATTACAAGAAGTACACTCCAGCGTGTGCAACTAGATGTGTCTTATTTGAAACTCTTCATTAAAAGTATTGGGTACTTGGGGCACTTGGGTGGCTCAAGCACTTGAGAGTCTGACTTTGGCTCAGGTCATGATCCTATGGTTCATGGGTTCGAGTTCCACATCGGGCCCTGTGCTGAGAGCTCAGAGCCTGGATCCTGCTTCAGATTCTGTGCCCCGCTCTCTGCCCCTCCCCCACTCTCTCTCTCAAAAATAAACATTAAAAAAAAGTGTTGATGGGCATAGACAGGCACACTTTGTACACTGCTCCGTTGATGGCATTCCACTGTTGTTTGGGTCCCTTTCCTAGAATGTTGTCTTATTCATCCAGTATAGGTACCAGTTCCAGGAAGTACATTTTTTTTTTTTTTTTTTTTTTTACAAATAGTTTATTGTCCAATTAGTTTCTAGCAGGAAGTACATTTGATGGCTATTCTAAGCATCTCAGTGATTTGGAAATCAAAGTGAGCAGAAGGTTCCAGTTCTTGCTAATTTAAGAACATTATTTGTATTTTACCGGATCTCAGATTTTGTCATCTGGGAACAAATAGAAGGTAGAGAATTGACGAGATGATTTCTAAGGTCCCTAATTTTGTGTCGTCTCATATTAGATGTACAGAATAGTACCAGTAAAATGAAAACTAGATTTTTTCTAGTGATATGCCAGTTAGAGGTACATGCTCTGATGATTTCGTTTTGTAGGTTTTATGGGAGAATTGTAGACAAGCCTGGTGACCACGATCCTGAGACTTTGGAAGCAATTGCAGAAAATGCAAAAGGCTTGGCTGGAATATCAGGGGAGAGGATTTGGGTGGAACTGAAAAAAATTCTTGTTGGTAACCATGTAAATCATTTGATTAATCTCATCTATGATCTTGATGTGGCTCCTTACATAGGTAAGAGCAATTTATAAAATATTTGAGATTTTGATGAGATATCTGGTTTAAAATTTCCTAAGGAAGAATGTTTGGCTAATTCCAAAAGGAGAAAAAGTATTTTAAAGTAAGATAAACTTTGAGATCATGGGTAGGAGGACACAGCTAAAGAGCACTGAAGTGGGACACAGTGGCCTCCAGTGTCAGACCTGGGTTTGAATGATGCGTTGCCACATACAGCTTTGTGATTTGGGTCAGTTCCTTAATCATTTGTTGATGAATCTAAAAAAGGGGTGTGAAAATAATTGCATTTATCTAAAGGAAGGGCTGATGCAGTGAATTAGTACATGTAAGGCACTTTAAGAGTAACAAATACAGAAATTACTCAGTGTTATTAGAATGTTCAGAAAGAACAGTGGTATATGTTCCAGCACCCTTCAGGAAACTTGGGTATATTTCAAATCCAGTTACTGAATGGAGGGTGGGGGGTGGATGTTATAGGACAGTAGGTCAGTGAGAAGTAAGTAATAAGTGTCCCTTGTGAGTCTTAACACCACCACCAATGGGTCTGGAAATTAATGTTTTAGGACTCCTCTAGGTCTTGGAGGGATTACAGGAGAGAATACCAAGTTTCTCAGTGGTTTACCTGTGAGATGGAGCATCACACTGAACCAGTGAGCGCTAGAGGCAGGACATTTAGAATACTATAGGCGTGACTGGTTGAGGCTATGAGGGTGTTTTATTAAATTTATCCACTGTAAAAAATAAAAATAGGTAAAAAATGTTTTTGTCCCTACAGGCTTACCTACTAATGCAAGTTTAGAAGAATTTAACAAAGTCAGTAAAAATGTTGAAGGTTTTTCACCAAAGCCAATGACTGTATTGGCCTCATTATTCAAAGTACAGGATGATGTCACAAAATTGGATTTGAGGTTGAAGATTTCAAAAGAAGAGAAAAACCTTGGTATATTTATAGTTAAAAACAGAAAAGATTTAGTCAAAGCAACAGATAGTTCAGAACCATTGAAACCCTATCAAGACTTCATTATAGATGTAAGTATATACAGGCATGGTCAGAACTAATTTATTAATATTAAGACCCAGTGTGTTCTGTGGATTTCACTTACTTTAAATGAAAAATTACATATCTGTTATTTACCTCTTAGGTAATATGATTAGCAAGCATTCTAACGTGTGGTGAAACTAAATGTTTGATTTTGGCATAGTCTAGGGAATCTGACGCAACGACTCGTGTGTGTGAACTCCTGAAGTACCAAGGAGAGCATCGTCTTCTCGAGCAAATGCAGCAGTGGTGCATTCCTCCATTTCCTGTGAGTGGCCATGACATCAGAAAAGTAGGCATCTCTTCAGGAAAAGAAATTGGGGCTCTGTTGCAGCAGTTACGAGAACAGTGGAAAAAAAGCGGTTACCAAATGGAGAAAGATGAACTCCTAAGTTACATAAAGAAGAGTGAAAATTGATGAGAGCTGGTACTAAGTAACAGAAAATTGTTGGTAAAATTAGTGTCCTCCTCCCCCCACCTTTAGTGAGATTTAAGACTTGAATATATAGCAGAATAAAAGCCAGCGCAGAGGGCCTCTTCAGATGAGTAAAGGTCTTATTTTTTGAAATATATTTCAGGCAGTAAACTGAAATCTACCTCCATTAGTCTGATTTATATCACTGAACCTTGTGATTCCTTTGGAGTAGTTCCTACTGCAAATAGTATAGTTGGATTCACCTCTCGTAATCTGTCTAGATTTTCTTCTTTTGTTTTTGGTATAGTGTGTTACTGATTGATCTTAAAAAGTTGTAACTGTCGATAAAAGTGTTTCTTAATGTTTGTAATTGAAATAACTACATTATTTTACCATTGTTCTGGAATCCAGGTAAGAACTGAAACTTACAAAAGTGTGCTGATAACACAGTAGTTGACAAAATAGCCCATGTAAAATAATGACGACCAGATGCATCCCAGGTGGCTATTTGTACACCCAAAACTTGTTCTAGCAAGCTGTTTTGGTATCTACTTGATACTTTTGTTGTCATAATTTATGCATGCTAAGCCTGAGAAAGATTGTCTTGACAGTTATTCTTGAGCCTATTTTTTAATAAACATTCCCTTTGAAATTATAAGATAAATGTGTATGTATGGTATGTGGCAGTATACATCTGTCTCTTTATATATATCTCTAGATATATATGCATATATTCCCCATACTGACAAATTAAGGTCAGCGTTAATTTTTTTAAAGACGTAGCCTACATTAAAATGTCCACGAGCGGGCCTATACATATGGTCTTTTAATTTTTTTAAAACGTTTGTTTGTATTTGAGAGAGAGCTTTCAGCACAGAGCCCGACACGGGGGTTGAACTCAGGAGTTGTGAGATCATGACCTGAGACGGACCCACTGAGCCACCCAGGTGCCTCTGTCCACATGGTCTTTCAAAGGTTTGAGCCCTTCATGCTTTCAGTAGGTAAATGGATGCATAGTGCAAAGTATTATTTCAACATTCTGCCATTTTGTAATTGACTTTCGTTTTTGTGTAGCCAGTCATAGCATCTTTGTCCTCTGTGAGGACAAGTCCCAGTTTAAAATAGTGTTATATGCACTTTTTTAAATTATCAGAAACTTTTATTTGCAAGTGTCAGTAAACAAAATAGAACATTCTGAGATTACACCTTTTAGATGGCAAAAGTAAAAGCAGCGTTCCCTCTCCGTGACTGATTAAGGTTTCAGTGTAGAGATGTGCTTTGTTACTATAAAGAACTGCCTAGAATAAGTTTTAGTTTAGTGTAAAGACTGCATGAAGAACTAGTACAGTCCTATAAACCCAGTGTTCTCAGTAGCAGTAATAGCTTAGGAAAAAAACTACAAATTTGGGCATATACTCTTCTGACAGCATTCTTGAGTTGCTTTTCATTTACTTCCTGTATATAAATATGCAGCATGAGATTCAGTTGTTTTAAGTCTAGGCAGTCATAACCATTGCATGTTGGGTAAAATAGTATATTACAACGTAAGAGATTTTAACAGTCTGCTCTTGGCTGGGCCTCATACATTTTCCCCCATTGGTTGAACTTTATTCCCTAGTTAATTATGTAAAGCCATGAAGGAATATCAAAATTACACAAATGTGAAAGGATCCGAAAAACACTTGAACATATAAGCAAAGAGGTAGGTAGCAAATCAGTATATCTACAACTTCATCTTAAATTATTGGCTTGTGAGTAAATATTTTTACATTATTTAAACAATGAGTATGTGTAATATTGTTTGCTCTTAAAGTTTACTTACAATTTTTTCAAGTTGCATGGAATAAAACTGCTTACAAAATACAGTCACTGTGTAGCCTGAATGAAGGGGGTGTGTTTTACGATCCCTGCTCCATAGTCGTTTAGGTTCAAATCAAACACTGAGTAAATACAGAAGTTACTGTTTTTCACTAACAAATACACAAGGAAATGAACACTATTTTGGGGCTCAAACTGCATATTTTAACTCTTTAATATCTTCAAAATTTACAAATCCATATGAGAGAAATTAAAGAAAATTAAAGCCTTTTTTCTTTGCCTCTTTCAAAAGGAACATGTACTTGGCACCCTAGCTTTTGAAACTTCTATAAAAACTTGCTATTTGTCCCATATATCAGGAGCAAATGATTAACCTCACATTAGAGGAATTTCAAATCTGTTTGGTGCCAGAAACCCTCACTTTCAGTGAGGTTTTCATGTCCTATCAGGGACATTGTAGTAGGCCAAAGTATAATGGTACCAAGGTACTAAAAGTAGATATTCCTAATTTTAATTTAAATCTTCAAATATCGTTGGACTAGGAAACTGGAACCTTCCGTGTAATGTTGCTTTTATATACTTAGGTATGCATCAAAAGCAGGAATTTCTGAAGCAGATCAGATTTTAGGAGACCAACTTGATAAATAACTTTATCCCTACTGTACTTGTTTACAAGCAAAGTATTACTTTGTCTGGACTTATCTCATCTTCAGTGTCTGGGATTGTGGGCAACAGAGCAGATCGAGTCAAACCCCAAAACTTCTGAGGTGACATGTCTTTCTTGGTGGCTGTAAATTTCCATCCAATATGGCTTGCACAGATCCTACACTGGGCGATAGTCCAGGCATACCTACAAAATTAAAGAAAGGTATCAGGTAAGGAAACCCATTAAGCCTTAATGAAAGTGTCAAATAAGATTGGATAACTCAAGTCACATGGTCCTAGGCCCATCACTAATCCATACTCAGCTTACCTCTTCCAAAATTTTGTAAGAAAAGCCTTCTTATACTTTCCCCAGATTTAATATTTTCAAGAACCCTAATAAGTTCTCAGGTGGTGCTGTTGGTCCCAGGCTCACACTTTGAAAAAGGAAAACCAGGACTAAATAAATGGTGTCTGCATCTGTTTTGTCTATTACTGCTTGGGAAGTATTCTCTGGTTTGATAACACTACAGAATAGATTGGTTCAGATACAGTTTTACTGGGTCACAAGCCAGCTGATTTTCAGAATGAGCTAAAAGGAAAATGAAAACAGTCTGCTGTCATTAACTGTAGCTAATTAAAGGATAACTGCAGTTGCCAACCTTCTAACTGTACACTTAGTGAGACTGCAAAATTAGTTACTAGCCATTCACAAAATGGAAAAACATTTAAATAGAACTATTTATCTTAGTGTCTAATTTTGATTAAAATTGTAATAATTCTGCTTAGAACTTCTGGGTTTTTCTGCCCAGTTAAGGCGGCAAAACCAAAAAAAATAAGTAACCACATTACCCAGGAAACCAGCTGTGCTCTGTCGAAGGTCGGCCTATCAGATTCAAGTTGCAAGCCTTATACACAGTAAGCGTCTCATGCACATATCCATGAGGATTCACATAAGCTGCCATCGGCCCACATAAGGATAAACTACAAGAGAGAATCAGCACAGAGAAGTCAAAATGGGAAGAAAAAAATGTCTAATGAGGCAGTAAGAGGGAAGATCTTAGAATCCTGTTTTGAAAACAGGAGGTTGATAGCCCCGTTTCATTCAGTCTACGTGTTTGTAAAATAGGGAGCTCAGCTTCATCTAAAGGAGTCTTTCAGAGTGGAAGTACAGTGAAAACGACCTTTCGGTCATCCTTGGGCTACTGATTGTAGACAACAATTTCCCTATGTCCTGATTTTCAAACACTTTATCACAGTAGCAGTACGTGTTCAGAAGCATGTCCTACTTTACCTTTGGCCCTGTGTTTGACTGCAGGATACTAGCCTAAGCATTTATCTGTATTCACTAAAACCATACACAGATTTTTCAAGCAGGAATGGGAAAAAAAGGATTGCCCCTTTCTGACTTGACCATGCTCATTACCTGTAAACATCTTACATAACCATTGCTGCTGAGTACCCAATGAGGAAGGGTAACTTAACCCCCCATATTTCATTTGCTGAAATGACTGTAATTCAATGGAGGAAAATATATGGAGAATGGATATATAGCCTTGACTATAATTCTGTTATAGCAGTCGGAACATAGAAGAATGTAATAAAGCTCTCACCTGAATATTTCATTTTTGGTTGTTATTTCTGTTTCTTGACATTGTTTACAGCAAAGAGAGGTACACTAAGAAATTTAAGAGAAAATTAGTGGGGAAAACTCACATTTGTTTAATTATGTAATTACACAGCTCGTCAAGAAACTTTAGAGAAAATACTGATCCCTCTTAATAACATGTTTTTCTTCCAATCATTACAAACTATAGTTTTTAGAGAAAGTCACACATATTCACTTCTAAAACTAATGACTTTGTAGGACAGTGACATGTATATAACGGCAGGTGCTCAACATAGAAATCAAGTGACAAACTCGAAATGTTGAAGGGATGTAAAAACAATCTGAATGGCTGTATGATCCCAAATGAAGTATCTAAATTATCCTTTAAATCTTTTTAATGTAAGGGTGGCCTGGGTCGCTCAGTCAGTTAAGCATCCAACTTCACCTCAGGTTATGATCTCACTGCTTGTGAGTTCAAGCCCCGTGTCAGGCTCTGTGCTGACAGCCTGGAGCCCGCTTTGGATTCTGTTTCTTCCTCTCTCTGCCCCTCCCCCACGCATGGTCATGGTCTCTCTCTCTCTCTCTCTCTCTCTCTCTCTCTCTCCCTCAAAAATAAATTAAAAAAATGTAAAACAACTAGTTTTCTAATTGCATCACTACATAGCTGGATCTCACAGATAGTCTAGTGTAAGATACAGCTGTCATGAACATGGTAAGTATACTCACTTTATTCATAATATCTAGTTCACAGCGGAGTCGTTGGATGGCACTACCAATTTTAAGGAGCTGAATCCTTAATACATCATCAATAGGAAGACAAGCAGCTACTCTGTAAGAAAAATCTTAAAGACATGGTGGTTTTTTAAGTTTTAAGTTTATGAAGCAGATAATAAGGTCTTTTTGAAGTAAACCCTCCCTACAGCATTCACAGAGAACATATTCCACATAATTATAAACAATACTAAAATACACTAGCTATCAAGTAAATACTCCTGGGAAGTTCTAAAATTAACTTCTTATAATTGGTTTTATAAATGTCTTTCAAACATGAAAATCAAACCCATGTTAGAAGAATTTCCTCAAAGACTAGAAAAATGGCTATAGTAACTAGCTGATAAACAGATTACATGTACATAAGGTAAGTCCTAGAACTACGGTTATTTTTAACGCCACCATAAAGAACTGGGAAAAGAGTGTGTTAACATTCAAGTTTTTGGATATGAGCTATTAACTACAAGTTGCCTAGAATAGGAAAACTGCCTCAAATTAGAGTGCTCACAGAATTTGAGAGCTTTGCTACAATTAACTACTTTTAAAGGGCTCAAAACAAATATGTATGCTTTTCAGAATAAAAATATGAAACTAAAATTTTTGGTTTCATTACAAATAAATTAATTTTAGTAAAAGCCAGAGGAAGGAAGCAGACTTTTCATACCTATTGGATTTGAAGGAAGAGAATCATCTTTAAGATTTTCATCCCATTCACGGAGCTGTTTCTTAATTCTGTCCATTAAAGTTTCCTTGTTTAAAATAAAAGCAGCCATAATAAGGTTCACAGACTTTTTACAATTTACCGCCAAATTTTCAACAAGTCTCAATTCTATGTACTAAAATCCGAGTCCCAGTTTCAACTGTGTCTGTGGTCTCACGTGCAGATGGTCAGAGCCCAGCTCGTCCACCCGACACGAAGTTGCCTTTCCAGGCTTCTGTCCTCTCTCCCTAGGAGCACATGCTCCTGCCCTGCTGCCTTCTAGGTGTTCTCTTATGAACTGTGTGGAATTGGCTTCTCTTCTCCCCCTTCCTAGGAAGGCTTTTCTAACTCTAAGTTATAAGAGCACTTGCTATTTATATACCTTACTTGGCACCCATTTAGCACACAAGAGTGTGCTTCCTATCTTTTCACAGATGTCTGCAAAAAAACACTGCTCTGTTTTGCATTTGTAATGGCCCAAAGCGCTGCTGAAGGGCAGAGTGAACTGTAGTTTCTTTAGTGTTGTGTTTGTGAGAAGTGCTCAAACCTAAGTATTTAGTCTTCCTAAGATTCTACGTCTTAGGCGAGGTGGTTCACTAGGGAAATGACTAACATTTGTTGAGTGTGCCAAGTACAATAACTATCACTATCCCCATTTGAAAAATTCAATTTACAGGGGCACCTGAGTGGCTCAGTCAGCTGAGCGTCTGACTTCGGCTCAGGTCATAATCTCACGGTTTGTGAGTTCAAGCCCCACATCAGGCTCTGTGCTGACAGCTCAGAGCCTGGAGCCTGCTTCAGATTCTGTGTGTCCCCCTCTATCTGCCCTTCCCATGATCATGCTGTCTCTCTCAGTCTCTCAATGATAAATGTAAAAAAAAAAAATTTTTTTTAAAACTCAACTTACTGAGATGAGTAATTTGCCCCAAACTATAGGGAAAATGATAGAAATCAGGCTTTGAAAACAGTCTTCGTGTCTAAACCCCAGATTCTTTGACCAATTCCAGGCTGCCTCTTACTAAGTTTTGCAAGGTATGGTGGTGCCTAAGTATGACCATTTAAGGAGCAAGAACACTTGTGGATGCAGTAGACTAATGGAATCAGGAGATCTAAGTTCATACACTCGTTTAGGAAAAAAACAAAGCACCTTATGGGTGCTTTGATTTTTGAAATCTACCTGCCACTTAACACATTTCAAATCCTTATTAGACCCTAAAACACCTCATTATCTTGTCCTGAATTTATAAGCCACTAGAAATTGGGAAAACAAAAAATTCTATAAAGACAAAGTAAATCCAGCAGAATCTGATTCCTTTGTATTCTACTTAAATGTAAAGAAGGGCATTAGTTCTGAAAATGAGATACCACTGACTATGAAAGTCTGTGTTTCATTCCAATGACCCTTAATTACGACAAGGCTTACCCTAGATATAAAAAATTACAAGGTAATACTTACAGCATCATATAAGGAATAAAGCCAGCGAGGCCATGAAGTCAAATTTGCACAATGAAACTTTCTCTGGAAACAGAAAAAAGTCACTTAAATTCTATATAGATTCTTATGGTGGAAAGAACAATATTTAAAAATTGATTTTGGCCCTCAAAACGATTTTCTAATTTCAATAATAGGGAAAATTTTGTAGATAACCCTATTAATAGATTATTGATTACCTATTAAATTTGATAATCACTGTTTTACAGCTTTCAATTTATAGTGCAACTAGAATCCTCATTCTTAGTGGGAAAATTTAACAATTTAATGGTGAGGATAACTTACTGAAGTTAAGATGAACTTGAAGAATGATTAAATGTACTTACATTACCACATTATCTGCCTACTAATCATTTGTTCAGTATATGCAGGGAAAACTCAAATATAATCCAAACTGTCTTTGTGTAAAACTTTAAATGGCTTTCAAGTGAATTACCTTAGAGGCAAATATAAGAAATCAGTCAATTCTAAGAAAAAAATGATCATACACTGGAGACTCCAGGATGAAGTCCCCCATTTCACAGAACTGAGGGAAAGGGGAAAAGCATTGGGTAGCTCTTCCAATTGTATTTTGGAATCCAAAAGCAAGCATTCCTAAATCCATATAAAAATGTGCATTATACTTAAATTCCAGTAGAATTTCTATTTTTAATGGGAAGACTCAATAATTAAAATGGGCGTCCTCAAAGTACATATTCAGAGTTACTAATACCAATGAGACTGGAATTCAGAAGCATAACTTAAGCATAACCTGGAATAATAAGTGTGTAAAAACTACCAAGAAAGTTTGGAAAGAGAAGTGTTCTACAGGACACAAAAATATGATTGAGAATGCACTACAGCAGTGCTATTAATAGCAACAAACTAAAAACAACCAAAATGTCAATGAACAATAAATGCATTAGAATACATATATACTACAGGATACTTTGCACCTGATCAAACAAGGCATTTCAAGCCTACAGAGAATAAAGAATGACCACATCTTCCTCAATAAGGAAAACAAAACCTATGTAAGTACAGACATTCATAATTCTGTAAACAGTTAACTGATATGGGGAATGACACACGAAAAGTGGGTGGGAAAGGAGTAAAGTGGCTCAGAAAGGACTGTCCCAAAACAGGACAAGAAAAGCAAGCTTAAGATTTAACAGAATGAAAGGGAAATCCTATGCTTGCACTTGCACAACCAAATGAATGGGCATGAAATGGGGGAAACATGACATATGTAAAAAAGACTTGGGGGACTCAGTTGGTAGATGAACTAACCAATGCGCTACAGAGCTTACATCCTACTCTCCCTGCAATCTTATGTTAGAAGATGTCCAGAATCTAAGAGGAGACAATAACGTTACCCTTCTGTGACAGTCAGAACTTGTGAGGGGCCAGGATGCTAAGAGGAGATCAAGTTTATATTAGCAGTGTTCAGTTTGGAGCTGCCTCTCAAGAGGACATGATAATTACTTTTAAATATTTTAGAGAACTATGACATGGATGAGGATAGACTTGTTTTTCAGGGCTCATCCACTAAAGCACAAACCAATGGATTCTTTAACGAGACGAAGTTTTGGCGCAATCTCATCCTTATATTTGAGGCTACCAAAACATGGGTCTGGGAGGGCCTCCAAGTATATGTTCAAAAAGTGATTTAAGCCAGAGGAACCAGACTGTAAGACACTTAAGCTACTCTCCAATCAGTTTACTTTTAAGACCAAAAACTAAGGCTAAGGAATTTTGTCACATTCCAAATAAATGCTTCAGAATAAGCACACAGAGTAAAAAAACAAAAACAAAAACAAAACAAAAAACAAAAAACCCTACAACAGCCCTTCAGGTAACCACAAATATGAATATTCAGTAATAACAATCAGTGGCAGCCACTGTACCAGTCTTAGAAAAATTCTCTAAGGTTGCCAGTATTATCATCCCCATTTGAAAAATAAGGAAACAGGCACAGAAGGGCGGTGAAACTTGCCCAAAGCCATGGTAAACAGGGAGCTGCTGGGCTGTGCATCCAGGGAGTCTGGCTGTAACCATGATTCGTTCAAAAAATATTCTGAGCACCCAGTATGTATGTGTCAGGCATTATGTCCACACATTTGGAGTGTGCCAGTGATTAAAACAAAAAAAGACCAAGGTCACTGCCCTGTGGAGCATACATTTTCGTGCAAAGCAGCTTACTTTCTAGCGGTATACTCACAGGTACAAAGTGACAAAAATCCAACAAAGCTCCAGTTTGGCGGACTGACATACTACACACTCCCAATTCAGTTATTAATATATACGTCGTACATCAGAATGACCACTTTTACATTACAAAAGCTTATCATTTTACTTGGCACTCATGTCAAGATACAGAGAAACCCAAGTACTGTAGCCACTCCTTCCCACCATAACACAGAGAGAACGGAGTGTGGCACACTAGTGTATATTAAGAGCAATACAGCAGGTCAGGATCATTACCATTTGCCCAGCCAACCTGCCTCCTCCGTGAATGTGAACACACTGCAACTCAGGTGTCTCAGTTCTGTAACTTTTTAAAGTGAGGTCAATAATATTCTTTCTCAGGATTATCTTGAAAGATTCAAAAGTTCTATTTACAGATCAACTAAATGTTTATCCTTAATATTTGTGATATGCTTTATACGGTCAACTGTACAAACTGAAGTATACCAAAAAAGATTAGTTAGCTTTTACAGAGCAAATGCCCCAATTTAAGCCATTTCAATATCTCAAATTTAAGAGTCCCAATTTAGACTTCTGGTGCAATAGCAAAGGCTATTACTTCTATCTGGGTAATAATGATGGTAAGTTCTAGCAATTTATGGGCATTCTTCACATGTATCAGCACCACAATTTACTTCATAAAAGGGAAATACTTCAAAAAAAATTTTAGTACTAGCCCAAAAGTTAGGTGCTTCCAAGTGACAAATGTCTGATTTTCTAGTGAAGAAGTATTCACTCTTGGGAACAGGATTTACTATGGAAAGCAGGCAGAAAGACCCTGAAAACGATCTCTGTTCCCTGAAGGCAATCCATCACATTTTGAAGCCTCACATCTAGAGCTTCAGATTTGCCTTCCAACAATGTGGAATGTTAAACAAATGTGAAATTCCACTTAAATGGCTCTTTGAAGTGTAATAAAATTGGAAGACCAATGTAAAAGGCAAAACATGAATAGTAAATCACTGCCACTGATACACACAGTGGCCAAAGGTGGGTAATTTATTGCATCAAATCCCATCACCATCAGCAATATAAATAATAAAAATAATTTATCCAAGTAATTCAAAAGCTACTAGTTTTGTTTCCTTCTTCACTTACCAACTTCCTACTTGCCTATAAAAAGCAGACTGGAAGGGTATGCTCTTTTCTGCTCCGAGACTTCTAAACTACTAATGGCAGATACACAAGTATAAGGATAAGACATATGCCTGGAAAAATCACTGCTCTGTCCAAAGAAGCCTAACTACACACAGCCTAAGCTTTCAAGACCTTTTTCTTCTTTAATATAAAAATAGGCAACAAATATTGTCTTACTTCTACTATTACTCTTCTGAGACAAAGCAAAAACTTGTTTTCAGAGACAAGTTCCTAGGGAAAGTAATAGCCACCAAGACCTTAAAATACGAAAAGACCAGTAAAAGGGTTACCAGTCATATATTTATTTCCAAAAATTATGAATTGTCAACAGTTATCAAAGTGTTAGGGAGGTGCATAAAGAGACTCCCAACAAAGCAGAAGTAAGCAAAAAAAAAAAAAAAAACAAAAAAAACACGAATTTCGTCTATGATAAGGTGGCACCTTGTACCGGTGAAGGAAAATACAGGCTTTTCAGAAAATGGTAAGAGGACAATGAGGAGCCATCCGGAAAAAAAGTGGAGCTGAATTCATACCAGGATAAACCACACATGGATAAAAGTTTAAAAAGTTCTGATTTCATTAAAAAGCAATGCAATCAAAGTCAAAAGTAAAAGATTACATTTTAAATGTTTTTTTAAAAAAATTCCTTTGTATGAGGAAGTAATTTCTAGCTATGTTTCCTAATGCATGAGGAACTCCTAAAAATCCACAAAGGGCAAACACTATGTATAGGTACTTCCTAATAAAGGCAACACAAATTATTATTCAACACAAAATGTTACACCTCATTTCAATCCAAAGGATTAAAATTAAGCCTTCAACAAGATTCTATATTTTACTTATCAATCAGCAAAAAGGAAGTTGGATACTACATTGTCTGTAAAGCCATGATGACCTACTGCTGTCAGAGTACACATGGGCACAACCTCCTTAGGAAGGGACTCCGAGAATATCTGTCAAAATAATGATTGCAGATTCCCTGTCATCCAGTAATCCCACTTCCAAAATTTATTTTATCTCTTTGTGTGTGTGGAAGATCATTTGTTTACAAAAGTTAGTGCAGGTCTGTCACCCAGAAGTGACTGGTTACGTAAATTATAATGTAGTCATACAAGGGAACACTGGGCAACTTTAAAAACAAGGAAGCAGTGCCCCAAAAGTTGATACAGAAGAATCTCCTGTAAGAGAGAATAAGGTCTAGGATAGTATGTATTCTTTCACCTAAGAAAATGTAAAGCAATGAAAATATCTGTGTCTTCAAAAAGAAATTCTGGAAGACTTAGAAACTAACACGTGAGCCCACGTTCAAGGACTTGCTCTTCAGAACCAGAACCAGTGTTCAATTCTTTCCTGCTCCCTCTGAGCACGGCTTATAAACTTAGCAAGACTAGAAAGATGAGCAATCACTTTCTTAACTGGTTTCCACATTCCATTTTAACATTTTTTAATGTTAATTTATTTTTGAAAGAAGGCAGACAAAGCATTAGCAGGAAAGGTGCGGAGAGAGAGGGAGACACAGAATCTGAAGCAGGATCCAGACTCTGAGCTGTGAGCACAAAGCCCGATGCAGGGCTTGAACTCACGAACCATGAGGTCATGACCTGAGCCGAAGTCAAAGGCTTAACTGACTGAGCCACCCAGGTGCCCCTCCACATTTCATTTCTTTTTACATTTCATATTCAACTGTTTTCTGGTCAACACAGGAGGTGGTGCCCTTAAAAATGTATGTCATATTCCCAAGTTGGCTAAAGAAAAGTTTCCTTATTGTGAAAATCCCATTACAATAAACGCAGCCAGAAGTGAAAGGCACTGTGATAGGAAAGAAATAATTATTAGTTTTGAAGATCAAATCACAGAATTAGGAATGTTTCCAGATGGAAGTGACTTTTGGAAGAGTGTTCCCTGACTATACTAGCCTAACTTCTTAATCATTAGGGACATCTCTGCTGTACCCTTGTCAGAATGGAAGATTATAAAGGAATACTTGTGGAAGCTTAATTTTGTCATTTGGAATGATCAGTTCTCAAGGGCAAATGTTAAGAGAAGTGTGTGCAAACAGTTTCAAGGTTAATTGAATACATCTAGGCTACACTGCTGGACCCCTTAAGTATCATTTCTGCTGAAAAAGTGCTTGGCAACCTGATAAGCCTGAGTTGGCTTAGAATCGTCTAAGCATCTCCCAATTCTGACTACATTAACTACCTCTCAGACATAGAGACAAATGGATGCACTGCTTCATATACTGGTAGGATGTAGGAGTCAGATTTGAATAAAGTGAATCGAGCTGCCTTAGATCCATCCCAGGACAAGCAGCATTACGTAATCCAGTCCCTGGTAAATTACCATCCAGCTAACTGCACAGTAAGCTCAATCAGTTAGACAGTGCTAATGCACATGCAGTTTCAGCCAATGGTACCTACCACCCCTTTTCCTTCACTTGGTGAGTGGCTCAAAGTGGTGTCTCTAAAGCAGAACAGAGATTTTAGGTCATGTGCAGTCCAAAATAGATCAGCTAGCAATTTTTCGTGGCCTAGTGATTTAGACCCAAATTTCTAGACCCAAACTTCACTCAAATTTTAAAGAAGGAAACTCATTAAACAATCTGAAAAATACATGTGATGAAGGACCTGTATTTCCTTAAACCTTTTACATCTCTCTCCTTCCTTGGCACTTTCTGCTTAGTCCTTGGCATCTCTGAATATGAAAATAACTGAGGTATATGTTATTATTAGAGAAATAAATATATTATATTATGATTATTATTAGAGAAATAACACAAAGGGGAAAGAGGACCTGGTTCCAAACAAACAATTGCCTCTTTGGTCTCTGCACCTCCAGCTCTCTTGCTCTCAGTGTGCCAGTGACAACCGAGTTGCAAAGGCTTACTTCAGAATTAAAGTGAAAAGCTCAGATTCTTTAGCCACAGAATAGAAGAATTCCAGGAGTACATACAAAAAGTAAAAACCCAGTCTTACCTGTTTAACTCACAGACAGGACACACAATGAGCACAGAGCATTTAAGTCAGGAATTAACTACAATCACTACAACTTTACAAACAAGAGTTAAGTTAGGGTTTTTGAATTGTTGCTTTTTGGCAACCAATCTTAGTGTGGAAGAACTAGGATATAAATCAAAATGCTTACTATCTCCTAAAACACAATCCTGTTATTGAAATGCACAGCTATTTAAATACTGGGTGATACACAGGAAGCACCTTGATGCAGTTCCCATGGCACATAACATCTCAGTAGCACCCAGTGCCCAACACGCTTTTAGGCATTTATTAAATGACTTAATTCCAAAACCACTCCCGTGGAGCCCATGTACCTCAGAGCTGACTCTGATGTGCTTATTTCAATAGCGACATTTAGTATGACCACATAGCAGCAAAATCTTCCGCTGTTCTACCCTTAAACTAAAACAAAGGTAAAAGTCTATTTAAAGTGTCTGTATCAGGTTTGAAACAGGGAGTACTGCCTAGGTATACAAAGGTTGTCTGCAAAGTTAAGGCAGTGTCTGTTAAATCTTCAAAAACATTAGTTTCAAGATTGTGTAGGAATCCTTAAGCAATGTATTTCTACCTTTTCTACTGGATTCTTTTTAGAAATATTGATAAAACTGCAAAACCATGTCTCAGACTGTCCAACTAAGGTATATATTACTAAAACCAAGAAGCCCACAGACACCTGGCTAGAAGCCTGCTGCCCCCCGAATAGCCATCCTCAAAAACTCTCTCTGAAAATGATAAATTCTACCTTAAGAACATTACAAGCGCTGGTACACTAATTTATAAGACTCCTTTATCAATTATCTACACTAATTTATACCAAATTAGGATCGTATGCTAATTTATTCAAACTTAAAACCTGTACTACTTCACAAAGTGTAAGGAGTGATCAATGTAGGATTTTTCAGATTAAAATGGAAATGTCTCCATATTTTTAAAAGATAAACCTCAAAGAGCCAATTTTTTCTAAATTTAAAAACTAGTGATCATTTCCCTTAGGCAGAAATCATAAATATTAACTATTTTCTAAATTTATTTATGTTTCATTTTTTGAGAGAGTGCAAGGGGGGAGGGGCAGAGGGGGAGGGGGGAGGGAGAGAGGAAGAGCGAGAGAGAGAGAGAGAGAGAGAGAGAGACCGTGCACACATGTGCACACACGCATGGGAGGGAGGAGAAAGAGAGAGAAGCTTAAGCAGGCTCCACGCTCCGTGTGAAGCTTGAACTCACGACTGTGAGATCATGACCTGAGTGGAAAAGAAGAGCCAGACATTTAACCAAATGAGCCATCCAGATGCTCCAAAATTAGCTATTTTATACTCAAAACTGATACATGTGAAAAATGCGTAGAAACTGGCTTCATTAATTTTTTTCTAAGATAAAGAGTGATCTAGCCAAAAGGGTACGTGTAAGAATTAATGCCCAAATAAGCAGTGCTTTGACAGACCACACAGTCTCAAGCCAATTTTTGTGATGTCAACCGTGTCACACAAAAAGATAGGTAAAAAGCTTTCAGAAGTCCAGAAGATTTGGAACACTACTACTACTTGGAACTCTCCTCTCCTTAAGGTAATGTGTCTATGATTCAAGAGCCAAACATGTAATCTGATTATAGTTTAGCAAGATTCCCAGAGAACTAAAAATCACAAGCTATTAACTAATACACAGCTGACAGGCATTAGAGCAAGAACACCTTACAGCACTGTGACACTGGGCTATTTCTGCAAACTGCTTTTATGTAAATGGCTGCCTATGAAAGTTTTAGAAGCTCTAGCTTTGATCAAATGCAGCTAGGGTATTACCACAGAAGGTGTCTGGGGAGTAAATCATGAGACTTCTTTGTGTTCTTTTCTCAAATACAGGAAAAAAACAACCTGTCTTCATTTTCTGAGGATGCACAAAAAGTTAGTTTCTCACCTTCTGGTATTTCTGCCACCATTTATATGAATACTGGTCTTCCCATGAGACAGGTTTTGAAGGAAATATCTGGCATTTATTGAGGGATTCTAACTGAACTGCAGACATGGTTGAAGGCAACACACACTCGGGAAGAATTTGCACTTTAGCTTGCTGGATTCTAAAATAAAGAGAACCAAGCATGGTGTTCATTTTTAAAATAAACTAACTCAAACTACTAAGTTTCTAAACATTATGGGTAATTTTAAATACTAAGATTTTCAATTTTCTTTTCTTAAATGTACTCATCAAATGCTGATGTTAAGATGCAAGAATTTTCAGAAAATACTGTATTTCATAAATCATACCAAAGTTAAAATGAAAGATAACCTCAAGTATGGATTTTTAATCTCACTGTGAAATGCAAAGTGAGATTTGTACATGTCAGATAAACACAGTTTATTAATGAAACAAATTTAAAAAAATCAATATACAACCATCTATTACCACTTGATACTTCTACATTAGTTTCTCAGGCATTCTTGGACACCCCACCTCTTCCAGCTTCCCACCTGCTCCTGGCTCTTACACTTGTCTCTTCTCCCAAGTCTAATCTAACTGGAGGAGTACAGAGATAAAGGAAGAGAAAATCAAGAACCCATTTATGTGGACAGTTAAAGTAAGACTACAGAATTACATATGGCCTTTACTTCTATGTGCATTCTTTTTCTCCTTCTCAAACATCTAACTTGAAATGCAAAGAATCAAAATATGCATTATATTATCTTTTTTTAATCTAAAAATTAAATTCTCCTGAGAATGAAGTCACCATTTCCAGAATGCTACCTGCAATGCAGAATATTATGACTGCAAACATCTTAATTGTGAACAAATGCCAACAGGAACACTGTACATATGAGCTATTTTGTTTGGAAGCCTATCTCTGAGAGTAAAGCTCTTGAAATGTAGGCTGTACGCATATATCCAGATGCTGAAACAAAAATCTGTCATAATGACCAAAGTTCAATATATTAAAAGTCTCTGCTTCATTATTAAATATGTTTAGAAATTCTTAAGTGGTTTTTCATATTAATCATGGTCTTGACCTGTAAAAAGTTAGGAATGAAATTTTGATACTTGTGCTTATTAGATGACAATAGCTAACTTGGTTAGACGCATTTCGCTAACTTCATTTCTCTCCTGCAAAATCAAAGATATGTCTACATGATTTTTCAGAATGTTAAAACAAATGAACATATTCAAATTATGTTCAAATGTTCTTATATTAGAACTCACTAAAAACAAATAAAATCTCTATTTTCTTCACCTGTCACATGAACACAAACACTTGGTAATCATATTTTTAAAACAAAAGCGTGTACCATTCTATAGAAATGTTCAGAAATCTGATTCTTCTTTAAGGCCATCAGTATCTAAATTAAAAATGATACTTAACTATTACATAAGGTTTCGCTGTATAGGGATAAAAACATTAACACTGGTGAGAAATTGGTTTACTGATCTTTTTAATAATCAGCCTGTGGTATAAGCTGCATGAACTGCCTTCCAGGATTGAGCAACACTCTCTGCTCCTGTTGTTCCACATGCTTCTACACGCTTCCACACACCTGGGCTCGGCTGCACACACAGGGCTCGTTCTTTGTTTGTAACATAAGCTACTTTCGTTTCTTCCCAACTTGTTTAGAGCAGTTGTTTTGTTAGTATAGTTACATAATTTATATAAATATTACAAAACCAATGAAATATGACTTAAGTAAAATTGCTTTAAGATACAAAGTTGAACAATAAAAATTGCTTTCAAGTTAGGTTCAGACAGTTCAAATAATTCAGATGATTAATGGTCTCAATTACCACAAGTAAGAGAACTTCTGTAATTCCAAAGAGAGTATTAACCTCCTCTTCTTCTCAACAAGCTAAGGAATATTCTACAGTGATTCTATGACATACTTAAAATTTTTAATTTTTCAAAAAAACGTTCATGTGTTCAGAAAATGCCAAAGAAATAAAGATTCTTAGAAAAGGTTAGAAGGCAGCAGTATAGTTTTTATATATGAAGGGTTACTTACGTAAAAGACAAATGACTATTATCTAACACTACTTGACTGGATAAAGGGAAACTGGCTTGAGTTCCGAAGGTGCTATGGATGAGTTCTGGTAGAATGGAGAGAGCACTAGCTTGGAAGTCAGGGGACCCAGAAGCAACAAAAAGTGACTTACTAGCTGCATCACTTCAGGCAAATCACTTTATCTCTCTCGTATTTTGCTGTCTTGTTTGGAAAAAGAAGAAATTTCACTAGATTATCTATCTCCACAGAGTCTTCCATCTCCCCATTTCTACTGACAGGAGTTACAGGGCTAGAGAGGCAGTAGAACCAGAGAAATCTCAATCCATGGAGCCCTTTTATATTAAGAAAGACTCACCTCTGTGAGAGGTCTTAGCAGTGGGGCTACGGAATAACAGAGCGTGCCCTTTCCAAGTCTTGCCTAACCCTATCACTTTCATGTTAGTCTTTACTAGCATCAAACATGTAGTCTTTGACCTGTTTTCAGAGTTAATCGTCTACTGCCATCTTGTGTTCAAAACCGTTTTTCCACAGTCAAAAGTCAAGAAAGTCTCAGAAACCTAACTTTTCTCCCAAGTCAATTTTCTTTTATGGTTCCCGTAACATAGTATTCACAAATAATCAAAAATTTAAAAACAGGAGGATAAGAAGTACTTTAAATATGGAAGTATTAGTAAAATCTGTAGTAAGAAAAACAGCTTGCTAATTATCACAATGCAGAGCCCTCAGGAGGACACCCATTCACTCAGGTAGCGTTTATGGTCCTAAGTATCGAACATACAGAAGTGTTAATCACTGATCATCTTCAGGCAGTTCATCTACTGAGGGAGATAGACATACAGTCCTGTAATGATAATACAACATGTTAACACCATGAGAGTCGGCACTGTGAATGTTCCGGGAGGGGGGTGGTACCACTGAGAGCCCTGGTACCTCATGCCTCATTTCTCTAGCCCCAAAGGGTTGCCTCACCTGTCTGTATTTCCATAATCCAGTGATATCTGTGAATGCCCATCATGAGAACAAAACAAGACAAAACCTCTCAAGTTCTACACGTTCAGAAGATCTGTTCAACACAGAGGTCGGATAAAATTTTCAGCTCCGGTTAGGAGACCAACTCCGTAGGAGTGGGTGAACCCCAAGAACCTGTATCTTTGCAATACTTCACAGGTGATTCTTATGTGCCAGAGTTGAGAACAGCTCCCATAAGAGGTAACATGTAATCATCAGGACACATGCATATTTTGTTTTACTTTGTTTTTAAAGGATAAAGTCAACTGGATTTTTTTACATGAGGTTAGTGGTCCTTAAACTTGTGAAAAAGCTCAAACCATGAGAGCCATGCCATACTAACTGTTAAAACAATTATACTCAGAAAATTTCTAAACCTTGTAAGATACAGAGACAACAAGCATTTACTGATCACTTACTATATAGTTAATACATTTGTGGGTGACATAAAATTCACACCAGAGACGGGTGCCAACTATAAATGGTTCCTACAGCCCAGATGGACCAGTTGACAGGTATAACCATTGTGGCTTTCCCTCTCACAGGAACACTGCAAACACCACAGCCACCCTGTCCTGATGAGTGCACAGAGAACGTAGAGGCCTGGGGCCTTCCAGCCTTTTCCACTCTGAAGAGAAGCCTTCAATCTCAAAGCAGCTGTATCCCCAAAGACATTTGTTCTTTGGGTTTACTTTAATATTCTCAAACATGGAGGGACATGAGAATCACCTGGAAATCATGACAAAAGATGCTGCAGCCTCACCCCAGGTTTACACCACTCTCTAGGGGTGGGGGATGAGGATGAAACTCAAGCTTCTATCATTTTAAAAACCTCCCATGTAGTTCTGTGGCACAGCCAAGTTGGAAACCACTAGGCTACACCTTCAAAGGAGAAAAGAACTACTTAAAAGTTACAAAATGTGAAGGGTCAGTACAATAGGAAAAAATAGAAGTAAACAATCTCATTTAACGATATACGTTTTAAGATATATGGTATTTCTTACCCATCTGACTGTGTTCTTAGCTCAAGGACTTTGAACCTTTGTCGTCCAATTGCTTTCACTTTCACTATCTCAATTCCAAAATCCTGTTCTTCCCGATAGGCATATATCTCTGCTGTAGTTCCAAACTGTGCTTCCCTCTCCTGTATATTACTTCCGAGGAAAATTTTAAAAGGAAATAATTTTGAACATTTAATTTTTAAATATGCAAAGGTGCCAAAAGCAATACATATGATAAAATAATTATTACAGAAATTAGTCCTTATTGCAAAGCTACTATAATTTTATTTTAAAGTCACATGGGAGCATGTATATATTTAAGAAGTCTTCGGGGTGCCTGGGTGGCTTAGTCGGTTAAGCGTCCGACTTTCGCTTAGGTCATGATCTCGCAGTTCGTGGGTTCGAGCCCCGCGTCGGGCTCTGTGCTGACTGCCAGCTCAGAGCCTGGAGCCTGTTTCAGAGTCTGTGTCTCCCTCTCTCTCTGACCCTCCCCTGCTCACGCTGTCTCTCTCTCCCCTAGAAATAAATAAAACATAAAAAAAAAAAAAAAAAAAAAAAAAGAAGCCTTCAAAATTACAATGTGAGCACTTCAGGAAAATAATAGATTTCTAGTTACTGAAGATGATCTAGGACTGGTAGGGGTTTAAAGTCTCATTTCCCAAACCAGAAATTCTTTTACTTCAGTAGAGCATCATTTCTGCTGCTGGTTTTTAGCAGCACAGGACTGGGGTGGGAAATTCCTGTATTCACTTCCTGCTTCTACCACTGACTTCCTCCAGCTGCTATAGGTAACCCACAATTCAGTTTCAGTTTGCCACTGGTATATAACAGGACAATGCATGAATTTTGAGAGAAAGAAAGGAATAAGCCACTCCTTTGTAAAGGTAATCCTTTACATTAAAATGTAAAAGTACTCTCTCTTCTTAAATAATGAAAGTTATTGAAAATCGGATTCCAGAAATTTTTATTAAGTATTAATGACTTAAAAAATTGCAAATACCAGAAAGTTTATGAGAGGAAATATCTGATTTGGATAGTAATGAGAACATTAAAAATACTCCTACTTGCACTTTCAATCATTTTGTCAAAATTTCTTACTTCACATCCTTATCCAATCTCTTGTGCATGCAAAATAATAGTCAGTTTTGGCTTTAACACTGACCTCTGCTTGTGACTCTACATGAAAGAGAATGTGTTAAGCGAATTCACTCTAATATTTTACCTATATGCAAGAACCGCAAAGGTTCTGTCTTTCTGAATCAAATTCCGCACCATACTGACTTCCTGAGGACGAAAGAGCTGAAGAGGTAAGGTCTGCCCAGGAATCAGGATCATCATCACTTGCGGCAGAACTGGAATAACCTGGCAGCTGTCATCATCATGCAGAGTCCTGCCATGAAATTCTTCCATATCCGCGCCCAGATACTATTCAAGAACACACAGACACACTGTCACACATATGTAATAACAATATAAGCTCAACAGACCAAAGAGCCAATCAGATTAAAAGAAATATAAACAATAGGTACAACATTTACTTAAATAGTAAAGTTGGTGTATTGCCATCCCACATGAAAATTTCATTCTGATTCTTATGAGTAGAATTTCCATTACCTTGTGAAGAATGTCTCACACATAGTTTGAGAACATTTTTTAGTTCAAAATATTTTATTTTGACTAAGAAACCTCACTATGTCCAAACACATCACAAATGACCCTGTAAAATGTCAGCATGTTAGCTAACACCCTGGTACCAAGTAGGAGAGAGAGTATAAAGTATCTTGTAGCTCCACTACTAGAGGAAACATATGGAGGATGGCAATTCTTCAAACAGTTATTCTAGGACATAGTATGAAACTGCAGGAGATTAAGAGTCAAGTATGGGTATCAACTGGGAAAGAGCCCACATCTCCATCCACCATGTCTACCGTGAGGTAATATCCAATAATCCTAAACTCAGTTACTTGTTTTTAGGAATTCTATCTACTGTTACATTTATGTGTCTACTGTATACGATCTGCTACTAAATTTATACATACTGTATGTGATGTTGGCAGACTGGTGTCAAAATTTATGACATTCGGTTTTTTGGCTTCTTTGCTATCCTGGTCTTCAACTTCCATTTCAATTTCATCTTCTTCCTCACTCTCTGCTGTAAAAGTAGAAGATTTTGAGGGAAAAAAACGGATTCAAGAAAATGTCAAAGTGATGTTCCCCTTCAAATGCACAATTCCTTCATGAGACTTCTGAGCCCAGGAGAAGAGGGCTTCTAAACACCACTTGCATATGGTAATCTCTACAGTACTGTGAAAAGGCAGGTGGAGGGCTGGGGTCTATGCATGGTTCTTAACTGTATCTTTTTAAAATCACCTTTTTTTTTAAGACTAGTTTAAGATTTACATAAAGGTGGAAAAAATAGTATAGAGATTTCCTGTCTATCTTCCATTCACTCTGTCCTCTAGCTAACATCTGGTATTAATATGGTGTATTTGTCTAAAAATGAGTGTTGGCACCTTACTGTTAACTAAACTCCACATTTTACTTGGCTATTCTGATTTTTATCTAATACCCTTTTTCTGTTTCAGAATCCCATCAAAACTAGCACATCACATTTAGCTGTCATATCTCCTTAGCCTCCTTGGGGCTGGTTTCTCAAACTTTCCTTGTTGTTGATGGCCATGACAGTTTTAGGTACTGCTCAGGCATTTTGCAGAGGGACCCTCAAATAGAATTTGTTTGATGTATTTCTCATTATTACACTGAGGTTATGTACTTCGGGGAGAACATCATAAGAGGCTAAGGGTTGTTTTATCATATATCAAGGGTGCATACTATTAATATGATTTATCACTGCTGATGTTGATGGTGATCGCCTGGCCAAAGTACTGTCATATTTCTCTACTGTAAAGTTACTAACTTCCTCCTTTCCCCTTTGTACCCTTTGGAAGCCAATTACTAGGCAAAAGTCATCCTTAACAAGGTGAGGGATTATGCTCTCCTCTCCCTGAAGGGGAACTATCTACATAAATTATTTAAATTCTTCTGGATGAGAGATTCCTTTCTTCTCTCTTGCCAGTAACTGAAATGACTTAGACAACTCATTTCACCTGATTATGCCTTAGTTTCTGCATCTGAAAAATGACAGGAAGGAACAAGACAATGTCTAAATGTCTTTCAAACTCAGAACTTTATAAAAGAATTCTTGGAGAAGACAGGAAGGAGGGAAGGAAGGAAGGAAAGAAGGAAGGAAGGCTGGAAGGAAGGAAGTTCCTTTAATTAAAATAGAAAAAGATAACATTAGTACCCAGCAAAAACATTTTCATAGCAGTGACATCAATTCCCTGGCTGTCACTACAGTATTAAAAAATGAAATGTTTGTCATCATTTTCATATGAATTTCGCTTTGGAATTTTAAATTTAAAAATAAAGTTCACTTGAAACATAAAACATATTTAAAGGAAACATCATAGAAAACTTTCTGCACACACAACTTTTAAATTATGAAAACTAAGCTCATCTACTTCAAAAACTTGATGTTACTGATAACAGAAATGAGAGTTAGAAAAAGCTACACTAAATAAGCGTTATTCTACTGAATGGAAGTCTGTCTTGTTAATGCCAGTGGGTAAAATTCCCATCCTAGATCTGCAGTTTTCAACCAGGGCTGATTTTGCCCCTCAGGGGATATTTGGAAATGTCTGGAAATATTTTTGGTTGTCACAACTAGGGAGCCCTACTGGCATCTAGTGGGCAGAGGACAGAGATGCTGCTAAACATCCCACAAGCTGCAGGACAGTCCTTCACAACAATCAATTTTCCAGCCCCCAAAACCAAAAGTGCTGAGGGTGAGAAATTCTGGCCTAGACAAAGCGAATCTCATTTTTGACCTCGTATTTCATGTATTTTTAAATGTCCCAAATTTCTGAATAGATAAAACGTCAACACAAAATTGTCATTTTCTTTTGTGTATTATCACTATTTAGATCAAATTACCTCCCAGCTAGTTTTCTGACAAGAAAAAACAAATGTTTTCCAATGTACTGTCTTGGACTTTCTATTAATTCTTTTTTTTTTTTAAATATTTTATTTATTTTTGGGAGAGAGATAGAGACAGCATGAGCAGGAGAGGGTCAGAGAGAGAGGGAGACACAGAATCCGAAGCAGACTCCAGGCTCTGAGCTACCTGTCAGCACAGAGCCCGATGCGGGACTCGAACCCACGAACCGTGAGATCATGACCTGAGCTGAAGCCGGACGCCCAACCGACGGAGCCACCCAGGCGCCCCGGACTTTCTATTAATTCTTAAAAGTTTGTAGATATTAGGATTTGTCAGAGAGGGATGTAACTTTTTAAACTTATATTTAAATGGGGAATGGTCTAACACTTCATACAAATTTTTGCCTAGACCACAGAAGTTCTACCAAAAGATAACAACAACAACAATCTCAAGCGATCTCCTTATACACGATAGCCTTTCTCATAAGTATGACCAAAACCCACTTCCCCCTACTCAGCTGTTTATTACTGTTTCCAACTTCGGCTCAGGTCCTCACCTCACTTGTGAGTTCGAGCCCCGAGTTGGGCTCTGTGCTGACAGTTCAGAGCCTGGAGCCTGCTTCGGATTCTGTGTCTCGCTCTCTCTCTGACCCTCCCCGCCTCCCCGCCTCACGCTCTGTCTCTCTTTCTCTCCCTCTTCTTCAAAAATAAGTAAGCATTAAAAAATTTTGAAAAAAAAACCCAAGTCCTACTACGTGAATTTATGGACAATCCAATGCTTCTTTATAAATAAAACTCATATATGATTTAGAAAAGCCTTATTATTATATCTACAAGCTCTCGGGGCCTTCTCACTCCTGATTCTTCTCAACAAAACACATACTGACTGTTCAGAACTACCAGGGTGAAGTCTGATGACTCATCTCATGCAGGAGCAGCATATGAATGCCAACAGAACATCCGTAACCTCCATAAACAGTGGATTCGGCACGTTCAGAGTGGGGCTGGTGTCTCTGAAATAAACAGCTCAGCTCGTCAGTCAAAGGCTGACAGACTTACCTTCATGTCACTTCAGCTAGGTTGGCTTCAGGAACAACCACTGTGGTTTATTTTTTATATAAAAGGTCCCTCCTATACGGTGGGCATGCATTCAGTCTTCTCCAATCCACACAACTCCCAGTGGACAAATTAATCCTCCAAGCAAAGCTTTCCTTGGGCAACTCCCTGTAACCCACAATTGTTTCTTGGCAACCCACAGAAAAAAGCCCCAGCCCCATCGTCAAGAGACGGAAGCTCCCCAACAACTGAGACACAACCTACCTCCTAGGCCTTCTCTTCCAAAACCCCATCCTAAGTATATGCTTTTGGATGTTTCCAGATCCAGTTCACAATGCTTTACCGCAATCTCTCTGAAGGACAATACGAGCCTCAACTTATATGGCCTTAAATAAACTTACGCCTCACACAGATTATAAACCTCAAGTTCCAGACTGTGTATCATATCTCTTTTCATGTCCACAACACCTAACTGGCACACAGTGAAGGAACTCAGCTAACAGCCCCAGTTTGTCTGACAACCTCTTGGAAAACATCTTTACAGCTTTCCATGACAAGTCTGTGCAATTATCCCAGGCATTTTTTTTTTTCTGCCCAGGATTCCAGTATAAAGCCAACGTCCAAATTTTCCCGAAACAAAGGAAAAAAGAAAACTTAATTTTACTCCACACTTCTAAGTCTCTTTAATCAAGCAGATTCAACTACCTGCTTGAACTACACACCTGAGAAAAACATGCTAGTACTGCCTTGGCAGTAAAGTGGGTAAGCGACATTGGCTGTGTTGACAAAAAGACTCAAACTGAAGTCCCGGGGCTGCTACTGTGTCACCTCGTCACCTGTGTCACACCTGCTACTGTGAACTAAACCATCCATTTCTCGCTTACCAAGCCGGGATCATAAAAGTTACACGGGGAGAATTAAACAGAGAAATGCACGCAAAACGCTTACCGCAGGGCCCGTGACACGTTAAAGGCTTAACATCTGCTAGCTGTCACTCTCACTGAACGGAAAAACTCCAGGAAAGTAACGGCTGCTAACCTGACCGGGTCCCCCATACCCCCTCCCTCCATCCCCCCAGTTTTAAGCCATTTCTTAGGATTCAAGTTCCGGTCACAAAACGGACGGAGAGGGAAGGGTCCCCGTCTTTGGGAGCAAACCCCCTACGGGATCCAAAAATTCTCGCTCATAGCCTGAGGCGATCCAGCAGGAGACAGAGGCGCCGGGACCAGGTAGCTGGCCTGAGGCCTGAGGTGAGGCCGCTTCCCGGAGCGCCCTGGCAGGCCTCGGTGCCCCCCGCCCGTCTCCCCAGCCCTGCTGCGCCGCTCACGGCTCGAGCCTCGCCCCGTCCCGCCTGCGAGGACCGGTCCCCGGAGGTTACCAGGGAGGAGTGGCAGGTGGTTGCCCATATTGTGCGCAGCGTCCTCCGGCTCCCTCTCGTCGGCCATGTCTGTTTACCCGCAGAGGAGGCTGGGACAGGGCGGCGCCCGGGCAGCCGGGGGAGAGTCCGCGCCGCGCCGCCGCAGCCGCGCACGGGGGCCACAGCGCCCTCTGGCGGCCCCCGGGGTCCCCAGCACGCCGGCCCGGATGGGAAAGGGCGCTGCAGGCTTGGAGACTGGCCGCTGGGGCTGAAAGCTGTCCCTTCCACCCTTGACTTCAGGACTTCCCGCCCGCAGCACACGCTGCGGAGCCCTGGCCTGATTCCAGCCCCCGTGACGTTTCACCTGTGGGGAAACTGAGGCTCAGGTGCTTGTCTCCACCTTGCTCTTGACGAAGGGGGCGGGGAGCAAATGGAAACCTGCTTATACAGAGTTAACTCCAATTCTTTAAAAGTACACATATGCAGACTGGGGAAATGCATCAGTTATTCCGAAGGCAGTTAGATTATAGCTGATATTCTTTCCAACAATTTTCAGTAGTTTCCATATATATTCCAAAATTAACACGTATTAGGCAGAACTAAATGCTTGAAATGATTCCACAGAGTAGAAAAAAGCCTATGATTGACTGGTAAAGTAAGAACGTCTGAATCTAAAAGAGCCGACTCATGGTGACTTAAACTAAGTAAAAATCAGTTATTATATGGCGAAAGAAAAAGTGAGGTTTGCAAAAAGGAGCATATTTCTGTTACAGTAGTCGGGTTGTGACTGGTACAATTTTTGTTTTGGACAACGGGCAAAAATTTTCATAGTGTGTTTTCACCATCATTTTTCCAGCAAAAGAGGAAAGATGAAAACATCTTTAAGTGAATAAAATATCGCAATGTGGTGGCAAGGGGAAGGGTAAGAGAAACCAGAAGCATTTGCTCTAGAGGACACAATAATAAATCTGAGATTTAAATAAATGTTCCAAAAATGGGCCTCACTGGAAAGTTAAAAGCTAAAGCCTCCTAATGAGTGAGACTCCCGAATCCAATTCTGTGTCATCCTGCCTTCTGTCCTCAAATCACTTTGTGGCCTTCGTAGAGTCATTTATGGCCTCAGTCCTCAGTTTCTCCAGTTGCAAAATGAGAATGGACCAAATGCCGCCCCAGATTTGTCCTAGTGAGTAATGTCTGCAGTATTAATGACAGCATCACCTTTTACATTTGAGTTAATGATAATTACGTGTAATACATTATGGTGATGGTTAGTGGAGTTAAGATGATCACTCTGGCCAGTTGAAGGGTGAATCTATGACAGAATGACGGAAACGAAAGTGCAGGAAAGAATGACAGAATGATGGAATGGGTGGAGTGTGGGTGTCAGAGCGAGAGAAGGCAGGGAGTGGGGTGGGCGGAGAGGGTGAAAGCAAGTATACAGATATACACATTTGATGTGGTAGCATTATCAATTTCACTATAATTTGTAGAATTTCATAAACTGTGTTGACCTGCAGGAGACATCTCTTTATATACATCAAGCATCTGACCTCTCAATAAGGAAGCCCTGAGCTGCTCATGGTCCTTCCCAGAGGTGGCCCCAGAACTATGATCTGCACCCAGGGTCAACCAAAAACCCTGTGGACAAGAAAGGACAGGTGTTAAGTTTGGCAAGGTCAGCAGATGTGACTGGAAGAGCATAAGTTGGTTCTTTGTTCTCTTGGGCACTATTCCAGGGTCAGTGAGGCTACCTGCACGTATCTGTTACTCCCCATTCTGCTCCTTTTTCTTCCGACCATTCACATTCATCATCTGCTCTCTCCTTCCTTTCATCTCTCCTGAGTCTACCCAGCCATCCAAAGCTCCATCTTACAACAGGGATAATAACAAGTGATCACTGAACAAAAACATCTAAGCAAGCAGGTTTCTTGGATTAAGCCCTGGTGATTAAAACTAAAAAGGAAAACATGATCATTCCCCATTTATTTTTAATTCAGTAACTTTATCCTTAAACAGAGTATCATACTGAGGTCCTCACATTTCTTCTTCTTCTTCTTTTTTTTTTTTTTTTTATTTCTGAGAGACAGAGAGAGACAGCGTGAGGGGAGGGTCAGAGAGAGAGAGGGAGACACAGAATCTGAAACAGGCTCTAGGCTCTGAGCTGGCAGTCAGCACAGAGCCCGACACGGGGGCTCGAACCCACGAACCTTTTTTTTTTCCCTCACATTTCTTCTTGCTTGCATGAAGTGTGTTCATTGATAAAGAGCTCTGCAAAACAGAGGGGAAGGAAATATGTAAATTTTTAAAAATATTTAAGTTCATAGATGGTTGCCTGGTAGCTCAAGAAGTGACTTTAATAGGACATAATTAAAGTTGATATTAGATAAGAGAAAATGAGAATGAAAAAGCCCACTGCTCTTTCAATTTCTGGCTTCTGCACTTTATTAGCAGCAAGGGATATACACACTGGGAAGACAAATTTCTGGCTCCCTTCTGCTTTTTGTATTCTCTCTCTAGTCTTTTTTAATGTGTTAAAGAATGTTGCTACCTTGGTCTAAGCAGTCAATTATCTCTTGCCTAGATTCTTGTAATAGCCTCAGTATTGGTCTCTGCCTTCCACTCTTGTCCCTTAGAGCTCATTCCTTCTTCTTCTTCTTTTTTTTTTAATGTTTATTTTTGAGAGAGAAAGAGAGAGAGAGAGAAAGTGAGCACGGGAGGGAGACAGAGAGGGGTAGACAGAGGATCCGAAGTGGGCTCCATGCTTACAGCAGCGAACTTGATGGGAGGGTTCATAAACCAGGTCATAAACTTCATGACCTGAGCTGAAGTCGGATGTTCAGCTGACAGAGCCAGCCAGGCACCCCTGCAGCTCATTCTCAACAAAGTGGCCAGAATGATTCCAGGAGACCACAAGTCAGATCACATGACAGCCCCTGCTCAGAACCCTTCCCTCTCCATCACACTAGAAGCCAATTTTTTTTAAGTTTTTATTTATTTGGAGGAAGAGAGAGAGAGAGACAGAGAGCAAGTATGAGTGGAGGAGGGGCAAAAAGAGAGAATCCCAAGCAGGCTCCGCACTGACAGTGCGGAGCCTGAGGTGGGGCTTGAGCCCAGGAATGGTGAGATCATGACCTGAGCCCAAATCAAGAGTTGGACACTTAACTGAATAAGCCAATTCTTAACAGGGGCCCACAAGACCCTTATAACACACAGTGGGCTCCCACATCCTGCTCTGAATTCCCTTTTCTGCTTTCTCTGGGCTCTCACGACTCTTCTTCAACTGGTCTTCCTGTTCCACAACCAAGTAGGGCCATTCCCACCTCAAGGCCTTTGCACTGACTGCTGCCCTTTCCTGGAAGTCTCTTCCCCCACATAGATGCATGGCTTGCTCCCTTGTATCTTCTAGGTCTTTGATCAAATGTCCTCTCCTGGGGAAGTCCTTCCCAGAATACCTAGTGTCTAATTGCAACCAGACCCCCAGTCTCCCACCATTCTCTTTCCCCCTTGTCTGCTGTATTTTTCCTTCAAAAGCATTTGTCAGCTTCAAAAATTACTATAAGACTTCATTTTAAAAACTGCCCTCACTCCTCCAAGAATGTATACTCATTGGGAGTCAGACATCTCTGCCTCTTTTGTTTACTCAAGTGTCCCAAATGCCCAACTCAAGGCCTCACACTTAATAAGGGATCAAAAAATGTTTATTCATGAATGAATAAATGAATGAGTGAAACGCACAGTCATGCTGCCGTGGCATTGTTGACTGACCTTCATTTTGTTTGGGGCAATAGTGTGTGAAACCCTATGGGATCATGTTTGCACTAAGGCCACAAGAGCCCCCTTCCCTTCCCCATGATCCTTTGCAACTAGTGGTGGTCGTCTGTCTGATGTTACACAGAGAAGGTTTTCTGGGCAGCCATGGGGACACTGAGAAGAGGACAGCTTCCAGAAAAGATTCCCCTTCCTGTTTAAAGGAAGAGATTTCATTCCTGCTCACTCCTGCAGGGATGGAGGTTAAGCTCCAACTGGTTTGGTGAATAAAACCAGCCAAAGAGCCAAAGAGTCTTGAAAGGAAAACACATATTTTAGAAAAAGCAAAGCTAGTTTTACTTGTAGATACATTCTGTTAACATAAAAAAAATGTTTATTTTTTGTTTTTGAGAGAGAGAGCAGGGGAGGGACAGAGAGAGAGGGAAAGTGAGAATCCCAAGCAGGCATGGAATCCTACTTGGGGCTTGAACC